ATTTCATCACATCAAAGTCAACTTATACCCACACCCTCTGTCTGTGTATATTACTTCTAACTGTCCTCATACAGATACGGTTTTCAACAGTTACAAGAATCATCTTGCTGCATACAGATGTAAGCAGTTTAATCTTACTGAATAACACATTTGTTTGTTTTTTCTTTCCTGTTTACCTTTTTATACTTCTCTTCAGTCTTGTATTTGAAAACTGAATTTTCTGTTCAGCTCTGGTCTTTTTATCAGGAAAGTTTGAAAGTCTCATTTTTCATTGAATGTCCTTCTTTTCCCCTGAAAGATTATGCTCAATCGTAATCCAAGTTCCTTTGCCTTCCAAGCCCTCAGATCCTTTAATGTATAAATTCTAAGTCTTGTATAATCCTGCCTGTGGCTCCTTAATATTTGGACTGTTTCTTTCTGGTGTCTTGCAGTATTTTCTCCTTGACCTGATAATTCTGGAATTTGGTTACAATATTCCTTGGAGTTTTCATTTTGGGACCTCGTTCAGGAGGTGATTGGTAGATTCTTTCAATGACAATTTTATCCTCTGGTTCTAGTATATCAGGGCAATGTTCCTGGATAATTTCTTGAAAAATGCTGTCTAGGCTCTTTTTTTTATCATGACTTTCAGGTAGACCAATAATTCTTAAATTATCTCTTCTGGATCTATTTCCAGGTTGGTTGTTTTTTCCAATGAGGCATTTTACATTTTCTTCTATTTTTTCATTCTTATGATTTTGTTTGATTGATTCTTGATGTCTCATAGAATCATTAGCTTCCACTTGCCCACTTCCAATTTTTTAAGGAACTATTTTCTTAAATTTAGCTTTTGTACCCCTTTTTCCATTTGGCCAATTCTACTTTTAAAGGAATTGTTTTGTTCAGTGGATTTTTTCCCCATTTGGCCAATTCTATTTTAAGGAGTTGTTTTCTTCAGTCAATTTTTGTGCTTCCTTTTCCAAGCTGTTGAATCTTATTTCATAATTCTCCTGTGTAACTCATTTCTTTTCCCAATTTTTTCTTCTACTTATATTAATTGATCTTTAAAATCCTTTTTTGAGCTCATCCAAGAGGACTTTTTGGTCTTAAGACCAATTCATATTTCCCTTTGAGGTTTCACATGAAGGCACTTTGACATTGTTGTCCTCTTCTGAGATTGTGTTTTGATCATTTGTGTTGTCATAGGAGCTCTTTATGGTCAGGGCTCTTTTTTTGCTCATTTTTTAAAGTTGAGCTTTGCTTCTGGAGCGCAGGGCCATTGTACCAAGCTTCTTGTGCTGAGGGCCAGGAGTCTGGTCACTGACTTTCTGCATTGGGGCCTCAGGTGCTTACAGTTTGCCCACTGTACTGGAGTGGACTGGCCTAGTTACACCTATTGTGTTGGGGTTCTAGGGCTGGCAATTTGCCTTCTGTGCTGAGGCATGAGGCCTCACAGCTACCCTGATGTGCCACTAATCTGCTAAGCTAGGACCTAGGGTCCTCCTTTGCCGATCTGTGCTGTGGCTAAGAGCTTTCTGCTGGCTTGCTCTGACACCATCTGCACTGAGTTTGTCCCCTTTTCACACAGGTGAGACAGATGTTTCCTGACATCCTTCCAAGTAATCTTAAGCTGGAAAATTGTTTCACTCCATCTTTTTGTGCTCCAGAATCCATTTATAGGCTTGACTTAATGTTGTTTTGAAGGGAAACTGGAGAGCTCAGGCAACTTCCTAGTTTCTCTCTGACATCTTGGCTCCACCCCCTATTTTATTTTTTAAATCATTTTTGTACTCTTCTAGAGATTCTTGTTGGCCTTGCGTCTAATTTACATTTTTCTTTGAGGTTTTGCTAGTAGCTCTTTTGACATCAATGTCTTCTTATGAGTTTATGTCTTGATCTTAGTTATCAACATAGTAGCTTTTTATGATCAGATCCTTTTTTATTGTTTGCTCATTTTCCAGCCTATTTCTTGACTTGCAACTTTCTATTAAAGTTTGGCTCTGCTCTCAGGGCAGAGATGATACTATCCCAAGCTTCAGGTTTTTTGTGCTGTTATTTCAGAGCTACTTCTCAGGATCTATAGGTTTTCAGAACTTCTAAGGTGGTATAATCCAAAGAGACTTGTGGTCATTGCTCTCCTGACCTGTGGTCTGGTCTTTACCCAGGAAGGGACCTTGCTCAACTGCAGCTGCAAGTGCCAGCACTCCTCTTGGCTCTGGAATTGTGACCAGGTCCTCTGCTCCCTTTTGAATGACCATAAGGCATCTTCTCTACCCTGAAACTGTGAACAGAGTCCTTGATCTCCTGCAGCGATAAGCCCTTATGATCCTCTCTGCCTTGAAACTGTGACCAGTGCCAGCAAAAGTTCTCTCATAATTTCCTTTTGACCAGCTGTCTAACCCCCTTACTATCTCTTCACTGAAAATTCCTGATGCCTACTGCTAGTGTTCCTGCTGTGCATACTGCATTCTAGGTCAGCCCTAGAAAAATGTTTCAACCTAACTTTTGTTGGCTCTGTCACTCCAGAATTCAATGTAAGGGGTTATTTTAAAATTGTTTGAAGGGGAATGTTGAGAGAGTTCAGCTGAATTGCTGCCTTTACACTGTTATCTTCCTAAAATTCTATTTGGATGCTTAACTTCCGTTTTGTTAATTTTGTGTAATATACCATGTATATATATATATATATATATATATATATATATATATGTATATATATATATATATATATATATACACATATATATATACATATATATATATACACATATATATACAACACACATACATATATGCGTATATAAATGTATGTGGGTATACACATACATGTATGTATTCAGAAAGGGGTACATTGTGGTTCCATTCTCCACTGTATCTCATTTAGCTTTTCTTTTAAACATTTAGATGCTACCATATTTGACGTATTTGCCTCAACTGACTACTCTCTATTCTTAGATACATTCTTTTCCTTGGATCTTTACAAAACCACTATTACCCTTTTCACATCCTACCTATTTGACCACTTTTTCTCAGAATTCTTTGTGGTTTGATCATGTCCAACTTTTTACCAGTTGAATGTAAAACTACGAAGGATCTGTCCTAGGCCTTCTTTTCTTCTTCTTTTATAGTCTCTCTTTTTCACTTCATCAGCTCCTGTAGATTCAACTACTGTCTCTAGGCAGATGATTTCTAGATGTATTTAACCAGTACTAGTCTCTATCCAGAGCTTTAGTTCCTGCCTTACCAATTGCCTATTGGACATGTCAAACACAGACACTCAACATATGCAAACTAAACTCATTATGTGTTTCCCCAAATCCACCTTTCTTCCAGATGTCCCAATTTCTATCAAAGATATCACCATTTTTTAGTCTCCAAAATTCATATTCTTTACATTGTCCTTAATTCTTTATTCTCCCTTACTTTAAATAACTAATCATTTGAGAAACTTTAAAAATGTCTTTCATGTCTGACCTCTTCTCTACAATCATATAGATACCACCTTAGCTCAATCTTTCATCACTTTTTGACTACCGTATTACAACAGCTACCTAATTGGTCTTCCTGCCTCAAGTTTCTCCCCATTTTAATCTATCTGACACAGTACTGTCAAAGTAATTTCCCTTAAAAACAGCTATAACTATATGACTACCTTATTCAATCAACTCTTGTGGCCTCCTATTAGCTCTAGGATAAAAATGAACTCCTCTATTTGTCTTTTAAAAACTAATACAGGGGCAGCTAGGTGGCACAGTGGATAGAGCACCAGCCCTGGACTCAGGAGGACCTGAGTTCAAATCTGGCCTCAGACACATAACAGTTACCAGCTGTGTGACGCTGGGTAAATCACTTAACCCCATTGCCTAGATTAAAAAAAAAAAACAAACTAATACAACATGGCCCCAATCTATATTTCCAATCTTACTGGTCATTACTCCCTTTCCCATAGTCTTTCATCCTGCCAAACTGACTTTCTCTCTGTTTCTTACACAGAACACTGCACCTCTCATTTTTTTGTGCCTTTACACTGGTTATCCCACATATGTAAAGTGTAGTCCTTTCTTATATTTACTTCACAAAGTCCCTGTTCTTCTTGACACTCAAGCACCAACTTCTACATGAAGGTTTTTCTGATTTCCTCAAAAGCTAGTGCCATCTCAAACTACCTGATATTTGTATATAGTTTTAGATTTATGTTTATACCTAATATGTATTTATTTGTATTTCCATTAAGAATGTAAACTTCTTTTGAATGAGGATTGTTTTATTACTTGTATCACCAGTTCCTCACACAGTGACTGGCACTTGGTAGGTGCTCAATAAATACTAAAATGTATTGATTTATTAAATTAGCTAGAGTTATTATTAGTGAAAGGGAAATCCAAATTAAGGGTGAAAGGGAGTAAGACAGAGAAAGGAAAGTTCACACAATCACTGAATTTTAAGGTTGGATGGAACTTTAGTGACCATCTAGTCCAACCCACACACTAAAAAAGATTTCAACTACAAAATGCCAATCAGCCTCTTGTTGAATACTTCAATTGAGAGAAAACTCATTGCCTATTGAGTCAACTAATTCATATCTGTATAGCTTTAATCATTAGAAAAGTTATTGTTGTTTTATTTTGTTTTGTCTTATTTTGCTGACCTGAAGGCTTAATTTGGCTCTTGGCAATTTCTGGTTGCATTACTTCTGGTTCTTTACTCTGGAGCCAGATTGGACAATGCTAATCCCTCTTCCATTTTGTCAACTCTGAAAACAATGATCAAAGAGTTACAGAGGTTTTGCAACCTCTGTTAACTCTAAAATTATCAAAGAGCTCACACAGGTTATTACAACCACAGTTAACTCTGAAAAATAAAATAAAAATAAAACAAACAAATAAATAAAACCAAACAAATAACTACTGGTCATAAGCAAAAAGCTTTCTTTATTCAGTTAGAGGAAGGAAACTAGACACATATACCAGGGCCTCTTTTACTAGGAGACCCACTTTAGTGCAGGCAAATCTTAATACATATACTAGTGATATGCACTGAGTTGTAGCCCTGACAATGAAGGGTAACAGCAACAATGACACAAGTTTCATAGCAGAACTTCAAGAAAATAACATGGGTAGTGCATGTACTTGTCCAAGCTAAGAGAGTACTTGGCGCTGATGTGAAACAATTCTGAGATTTTGCTGTGGCTGAGTTAATCCAGAAGGTGAGCACAAAGGATTGTTGTTATGTCCAGCTCAGGGCACAGCCTTCTTGCTGGACCTTAGCTGTGTAAAACAGGTGTCTCCTAATAGTAAAAAGAGAGGAATAAAAAGAAAGGGGTGGTCTTGGTGTGGGGATACCATAATATGATGGCCTGAAATAAATCTGAAAACAACTATAATGTTCTACATGAATCTTCTTTTCCCTGTGTTAAACTTCTCCAGTTCCTCAAACTGTTCCTCATTTTGCATGGATTAAAGACCCTTTGCCACTCTTCTATCCTTGCTCTTACATTCTCCAGCTAACTATTCTTTCTACATGTGGCATAGAGAACTAAAGTGAATTCTCCAGATACGGCATGAACAGGACAGAGAGGAGAAGGATTGGTACCTCCTTATTCTTGGGAGCTCTGACTGACTTAATTCAGCCCAATATTACGTTAGTTCTTTCAAGTTCTTGAGGTCTTATGACTAGCCATTCATTTCTAAACTGCGTAGGGGACAACCTTGTAAAACATTGATGGACTACCATGGTGATTGACTCTAAATTGTCTCTTCTCATTCCTTTCTCTAGTTTATGCTTATTTTAGAGCCAGTAAAGGTCTGGATTTATTTGCTTGCAGAACACAATTTATATTTTAAGTCTCTTGTGCTCAATTTTACATTTTCCAAAGTGCACTAAATTTAGTACTTTAAGCTAACAGCTCTCCAATGAATACAGTCAATTGTAAACAAGGCATCCTATTTCTGAGCTGGTTAAGGGTTGCAACTCACACTCTTAACTTCATGTCACTTAGGATCCATAAGTGCATTATTCAAAATTCTTCTTGTTGCCTATAAATAAGAAGTCACTTTAGTTAAATAAAAACTGTGTAAAATTATTTAATTCCATTATATCTTCAAATGAAAATATCAAAAGTTCTCTAAGAATATATAAAAAATGCAGAGATATTTGATAATATCCTCATATCATCCTATTACATTGTTACCTTGCCTAATATTCGATATAAACAAAACAAGGATCTTGTTTGAAAAATATGAAGACATGAGAAAACACATGACATGAATCATATAAAAAGTAGCAATATGAAACCTTCAAAACCAAATTCTGGTAGAATGAATTATTTGAATGAATCATCTTTTTTGCATTTGCTTTTAAAAAAAAAATTCCAAAAAGTAAGCATTCATTTTCCCTACACATTGGACATGTCCAAAAAGTACATCTTTCTGTTTCTTGAGTCCATTCACTTTCATCAGGAGGTTCAAATTTGCAGGCATACCTCATTTTATTGTGCTTTGCAGATACTGCTTTTTTTTTTTTAACAAATCTAAGGTTTGTAGCAGCCCTGAATCAAGCAAGTCTATCAGTGCCATTTTTCCAATAGCATGTGCTCATATTATGTCTCTGTGTCACATTTTGGCAATTCTTGCAATATTTCATACTTTTTCATTATTATTGTATCTGTTATGGTGATCTGTGATCAGTGATCTTTGATGTTATTGTTGTAAATTATTTTGGGGGCACTATGAACTATGCACATATAAGATGATGAACTTAATCAATAAATGTTGTCTGTGTTCTGACTGCTCCACTTATGGACCATTACCTCTCTTTTTTCCTTTCCTCAGGCTTCCCTATTCCTGAGATACAATGATATTGAAATTAGGCCAATTAATAACCACACAATGGCCTCTAAGTGCTCAAGTGAAAGGAAGAGTTAATCTGTGCCTCAAACTTCACTGTTGTCTTATTTTAAGAAATTGCTACAACCACCATCCTGATCAGTCAGCAACCACCAACAACAAGTCAAGACCCTCCACCAGCAAAAATATTACAACTCACTGAAGATTCAGATGATGATTAGCATTTTTTAGCAATAAAATAATTTTAATTAAGGTATGTGTTGTTTTTTTCAGATGTAATACTATTGCACACTTAATAGGCTACAGCATAGTATAAACATAACTTTTATATGCATTGGGAAACAAAAAAAAATTAATGTGACTTGCTTTACTGTGATATTTGCTTACTGTGGTCTGGAACTGAACCCTCAATATCTTTGAGGTATGCCTATATAGGAATCAGAGCTATCTCCAATCTATATGTAAGAAAGCATGATAAATATTGATAATCACATATTTTTGTATGTTTTATGATAAATGGGAAGGATATTACTTACATAATGCTCTTGTATTTACCTAGTTTATCTATTAATCTGAGACTGGAATTTTCTTTTCTAAAAACATCCTTCTCTCTGTTAAGTAGGGTAGAATAATATTAGATTTACCTTTTCTAATTATCTAGAATCTTTCATTCCCTGTAGATTTATCCATTATGTCCTAGAAAAGAACAGAGAGGCAGGTATTATCTCTGTAAAGCATTTACACATATACACACGTGCTGGAGAAGTGTGTCATGTGGCACTGAGAGTTTAGCTTGAGTAGCTACTTAGAGTACTCTATACTTATAAGCCATCAGTAGGCTCTCAGAGATTAAGCTGAACTAATTCCCATTGCTTACAGGCAAAATAACCTAGAAGTCCCTGAGCATTCCCAGCCTTTACTTTCTAGTGCTTTCCTGGATTCCTAAAACATCTTGTGGCATGAATTAATTCCCTCAAAAGTCATAACTTAGAAGCAGTTCTGGTGTCCATTCCCACTTGGTTCCCAATCTCTTCTCTGATTTTAGCATGAGTACAATGAATTGAATCAATTGGCATTTATGTTATGTGGATTTTTTTTTTGCTGCAGTGAAAATAAAAGTAATCAGCTCTAGAAGCCCAACTAAACTCTGAAACTTTTATACAATCTAAAATTTTATACTCTTCTCACTTTCTTTTGTGTACACTGTCATGGATCTGGTAGGGGAGGAGAGGGTGAAGCATCTAGACATCTTTGGGAGAACTAAGAGTTTAGGATTAAAATCTTGTGGAGAAAGGAGGAAATTATTTCACTAGCATCACCTCCCATTCTCTTGTTTCCAGAGTAATCACTATTCAATACTCATGGGCAGCAACCATGCTATCAGCCTCTTTCTCCCAGTCCTTTCTTTGGTCACCACCAGCCAAACCATTGTGGTTACACTGACAACTCACACTGCTAATCTTTGGAATTCCAGAGGGTAGAACCAGAGAACTAAGGATTGAACAAAAGACCATAATGAAATGTTGTCTTTCTGATTTTTAAAGTCTCAGTAGCAAAATATTATTCAGAATTTTTTATTACTTTTACTGTATTTCCTTTGGGTTATTCAGCTTTATCCTTCCCTTCTCTTGGGCCCTTCAAGATACAAAAATGAAGGAAATTATGCACTGACTGCATGGTGGTAGTCTGTTGCTTCAAATACTACCTCAGTATTTTTCATGGAAATGGGGAATAATTTATCTATGGTCACTCTGTAAGTCTGGACAAAATGACAAATAGACCACAGCCTTCCTAATTAACATCTACCTCTGATAATCAAATTGTAAACAACAGTGAAAAGGAAAAGGTGATTTTTTAATATTTTCCTCATTTTCCTTTCATTAGGATTTTCTTTCATTTTGTGTTTAGTGCCAAAATTATGCAGTATTTTAGAACAAGCCTACCTTAGTCCCTTTAGTTTTTAATCTAACTATGCAAATGATTTGAATGAATTATCCCAGGAACAACCAATTCCCCCCACATTAAATGATAATATTAATATATTTGCTTGGATAACCAGGTGGCACAGAAGATAGTGTTAGGCCTGGAATCAGGAAGACCTGAGTTTAAATCTGGTCTCAGAAACTAACTAGTTGCATCACCCTAGGTGAGTCACTTAACTCTGTTTGCCTCAATTTCCTCACCAGTAAAATGAGCTGGAGAAGGAAATGGCAAACCACATCAGTATCTGTCAAGAAAATCCCCAATGGGGCCACAAAGAGTCAGACATGACTGAACAATTGAGAAAAAAGAAGAAAAAAATCTGCTACATAAAAATTCAGATTTTTTTCAATAGAATATTTTTATACTTCAGACATGAGGTAGTTTTTCCTTGCAGCCAGTTTCCAAGGTCACATGTTCAATAAAGATATGAAGTTATTAAACCTCTTTCTTTATTCCCACATTTCAATTTTGTTGTCTCCTTAATGTATATGTATTCAGTACACACAACTATTGCTACAAAGAAAGAATGAATGAAAGTACTCAGAAGAGAAAAATAGTATCTTCTGGAAATTTCACCATTGTCTTTAGTCTTAGGGAGAGGGGGAAGTAGGAAATAGCCATGGAAGAACAGGGATAAGCATATATTTTTCAGTCTTCCACCTTGTTCTTTTAATAGAAATAAAATTCACAAATTCTTACAGTGTCCTTGAATGTACAGTACAATGTATGATCACAAAAAGACACTTTTATGTCTCCATGGATTGGCCTGTATAGTATGACAAAATTCTTTGAGAATGAGGGAGGAAACTTTGAAAAGCATTTTCTAAAGTTAAAAAAAATTAACCACATGACTAATACTTTTCATGGCATACATCTCCAAAGACACTAGAGGATAAGTGCAGTTAAAAGCCCTGTCTTCCTTTAATGGCAACTTATTTCTCCTGGGTAGGTCTTGTTCCTCCCTATTGAACTCCTAAACTGTTCATACTCTGTTCCCTTTGTCTTAATGCTTTTTCCTAACTAGTAAGATGAATCTTGTTCCCCAGGTTCTTTCCTTTACAATATAATTGTCTCTCAGTGTTTTACTACCTCTTTCAAGGACTGTGAGATACACTAGAATACCAGAACCAATGAAACCCCAAAGGGAATTTGTTCCTGCTAGTAACTTAGGATTTGAAACTAACTGTACAGAGACTTCTAGAAGGTTTTTACTGTCTCTTGTCTTGTCTTTTTAACTTCCTTTAGAATTTGTGAACCTGCAAAGAAGGTTTTAAAAAATATTCAAGGCATATAACAATAAGTTGGACATCACACTCACAGACAATTCTACTGGGCTAGAGAGATAGGATTCAGACAAGTTCATCTTTCATTTGAAAAATCCAGTTCCTGATGCATTAAATGAATAACTCAAAATTTGAAAAAGAGCTTCTGAAAGCAGAGCAGTAATGTGCTAGAGACTGAGGAGTAGCTTTCTGGTCTTTGCACTTGGTTAGTGGTGCTTGGTTTTCCCAAAGTGATGCCTACAATGAATATAAAACTTAGGCAGACTTCTCTCAAATTAACATTCAGTCAAGGGACAGGGGGATATTTTGCTGTTAATTAATCTCAGAGTCTATTGAACATTAGTTTCAGAGACTATTTCATGGGGTGGCTGGGTGGCCTAATGGATACAGCACCAAGGTCTGGGGTCAGGAAGATTTATCTTCTTGAGTTCAAATCTGCCTTTAGACACTTACTAGTCATGTCACCCTGGGCTAGTCACTCAACCCTGTTTGCCTCAGTTTCCTCATCTGTAAAGTGAGCTAGAGAAAGAAATGGCGAACTACTCTACATCTCTGTCAAGAAAATCCCAAATGGGGTCACAAAGAGTTGAACATGACTGAAAACAACTGAACCAAAAAAAGTCTCATGGTATAGAAATTAGTTAGTGAAATTTTGTTTGAAGTTGTTTACCATTAACCAAAATTAAGAGCAATAAAGAAAACTAACAATTACTTAGCATTTTAAAATTCTGCAACATGCTTTATATATATTAAATTAGCATAATACTTTAAATGTATATTTCATTTAAGCCTCATAAAATTCTCTGAAGTAAGTACAACATATATTATCTCCATTTTACAGATGAATAAACTGAGACTCAGAAAGGTCAAATGACTTGAACCCAACCAAGGCTTATTGATCCTGTGTCCAGCACCTTCTCCACTAGACTATACTACTTTTTCAAATACAATTTCAATTTTGATCTCCAGAAATTATATATTTTGCCACTTATAACACAATGAGTTCAGATCACAATTCATGAGATAAATAAGAAAGTGATGATTCTACAGTCTAAAGCATGTTCTTGTGATTATAGGAGCCTTTTGGCAATGTAAGGGAGAGGTCCCACAGTCACTTCTGCCTATGTATTTTACCTTTATATTGGCAGGGACTGCTGCTACAGTGGCTAAATCCTGACTTAAAGACTTATCTCTACTCAATTTCTGTTCAAATTCATCATGACTGAATCAGGTTTGGGATGAAATTATACTAACACTCAATGTTGTCAGCCATGAATAGGAGTTAGCACCTGGAATAGAGATTGTGGAGTTACAGAGTGTGAGAACCAAAACTAGGAGCCTAGGAATGATAAAGATGAGAATTCAGACCAGAGAGCACTGGATAAATATCAGTAAACAGGGAGTTAACTTAAATTCTTGGCAAGGTCCAAAGTCCAGGCCAAGTTCAAGGCAACAAAGGAAAGAGTCTGTGTTTTGTGTGTGTGTGTGTGTGTGTGTGTGTGTGTGTGTGTTTTGATGAGGAATGGAAGAATTCAAAGATGTCAATTTAAGCAAAGTGGTATTTACCATCATTTCACCAGTATCTGCTATGTATTTATCTGTGTGACCTTCCAAAAAGTCACCAGGCCTTTGAGATAAATTTTGCTCATCTGTAAAAGCAAATGGTCTACCCTACATTTTAGTTGTATAATATGAGACCAGGATTAGGTAGCAAGACCAGGAAGGTAAGGCTAGTTGGAAGTCTGACTATCAGACTTTTATTGACATGTTTCTCTTTGGGGATCTAGAAGAATCTAAAATGAATATTTGTTCACAGACCTGTTATCCTGGCCACTGATCTCACATACAGTGGTCAGGCCCCATTTTATTTTCTATGACAAGATTATAATTATGTTATTACTTTATATTATATTTATATATTATAAACTTCTGTGTCAGGAGGCAATATGAGGAAATAATCTATTTCTGGGATCTTCTGATATTGAGCATGTAGATAATTACCTGATAGCTAAAGATTCAGGAGAACTGAATTAAAGAATACAATGAACTCAGAAAAAGATGGGAACATGCATATGAACTAGTGTAGAATATAGTAACCACAGCCGAAAAATAATATACAAAATGATTATAAAAATACAAATAAAAATAAAAATCGAATGAAGCTGAATGTTACATCATTATAATGACTAATCTTGATCCTGTTGAAGAGTTGAGGAAACGTACTTTTTTTACTTCAAGAAATAAGGAAATAGGTATATGGAATTTTGCATACATGATCAGGTATTCAATGTATTCATATATTTTTAACTTTTTTAAGGTTTCTTTGTTACAAGGGATAACTTTCCTTCCACAACATTCCTTACATCTCTCCCTTTCTTTCCACTCACACAATCATGACCCTAGTTCAAGTTCTTATCTCTTTTCTGGACAAC